ATAATTCACACCATTCTATTTCCAGCCCAGACCACTCTCCTTATTTGCAGAATTTTAACTAACTGGGCACTCTACAGCTTTACTTCATTGGCTAACATACACCAAACTTAGCAAGTTGACACTGGGTTTCTCATTGTCTTCTACCCTGTTACTCTTGAATTCTTTCCAAAATAATAAATGACTTCTATTCTTTTAAAATGTAAATCATATCATGTACATGATTGTCCTTAAAAGTTTCCATTATTTCTCCAAATCATTCAGGCTCTCCATGACTGCTCCTTGATATTCTTGCTGATATTCTCGGGTTCACTATGCTCAAGACACTTTGGTCCTCCTGGCCCTGGCAACTTTGTGCTCTGTTATTACTGATTTCTGAACAGCTCTGCTCCAAATGTCCACATTGCTCCTTCTTTCATTTACTTCAAGTGCTACCTTCTGACTGAGGCCTTTCCTGGCCACCCTATCTAAAATTATAAGCCTGTCTCTCCACAAAAACACTCCTAGCTCTATTTCCTATTTTGCATTGGCTTTATAACTTACTATAAACACACTGTACATCTTGCTTATTTATCTTGATTACAATAAAGTTCTACTAAATATCCTTTGATTCTTTGTTGAATCGCCACTATTTTGAACAACTGCAACACAAAGTAGGCTCTCAAAAACATTCATTTGTTGAATAAAGGTTATTAACGACAACTAGATTCACCTCTTAGGAAGAAAGGTAAATAGAAAGCAAATGAGATAAGTACTTCATACGTGTTCATATACACCCATGTGTATCTGCTGGAAATAATTTTTGAGTGAAAACTGCAAGAAGGGCAGGAGAAATTCTAGTTAAAAGGGATGCCATGGAAGCACTGGTTTTGAAACTGAGCCTCAGGCAAGGAAAAGATAGATGATGGAAATACCTGGCATTTGGCAGAGCTAACCAGCTCCCAAACCTTCCTGAGAGTTGAGAGTCTGAGAGAGGAAAGGCTGGATAGGCAGACTAGGACTTGTGTGTGTGTGTGGGGGGGCAGGGGTCTTCACACACTCTTTGGGGGTGGCTCAGAGTGAGTCTGGAGGCTGCAGACTGGGCACCAATGTCCATGTGAGTACTCCTAGCAGCATTCAGCTTTCATCTCAGGATGTGGGGCTTGCAGCATGTGTTCCTCTCTAGGACTGGATGTGTACAAGCTAAAGCAACAACTATTCCTAATCTGGGAAAGGGATCACTGCTTAGGTGTGCATACTTTTTAGTAGAATGTTTTGCCATTCAAGTGCAAATCCTTTTGGTGAGTAACAGCCTCACAGTGACTCTCTTTTATGCTGTTTTGTGCCTAATTCATAATTGTATTACATGTTTTCTCATGGGCTCAAGCAGAAACTAGTTCATCTACATTTAGAGGATAATTATCATTTATAAAACATATTTAAAATGAAAACTCAATTTTAAAAAGACAGCTCTTAAAACTATAAAGAACATATAATTCTCAAATTCTTTGTATCCAGATACAGTTACTTGATTAGCTGTTACAGACACAGATGATGAAGAAAATTCCTCTGTAAATCACATCATCTTTGAGCTTTCTACCACAAAGTTGATTTACATGGATTTTCCCTAGACTTCCCTTTCCATTCTTTCATTACATAGTTCTGAGAGGAGAGACAAAGAGGCTGTGTGTCAGCTTCTTCTCCCCCTGGCAGTGTGAACACAGTGTAGGCAGATGCAGAAAGAGATCAGTGACTGTGCCCATGTGACATCACATAATACTTTACAAGCCTTCCCAGTTTCACGGGCGACATGGTGGCAACCTCTGATAATACATGCCTCAGCATTTCTCTAAAATTTGTAATTGGTTTCCTGAGGTCACATTTTGCTTGCTATCCTGGTACAGACTGAGGACCTTTGATCTCATTTCTTTCAGTGTGATGACTGTGAATTCTATATAGTAGAGTGTGGTTTAAGTGTGAGCATGTATATCATTCATATATATATATATATATATATATATATATATGCATGTTATGTGTGCATACAGTATGAGAGAAATAAATAGAAAATGATTGACCTGAGAGAATGGAAGGATGAAATGCATGAGAAGGAAATAGGAGGAGATTATCATTTACTAAGTTCTTACTGTGATCTAGACACCTAGGAAAGAAGGTAGTGATGGAGTCAGGAGAGAGGGTAGGCAGTTATATTGATGTTAAAAAAGAACTGTGAAAAGATCTTCTTCCTTAAAGTACTGTGATGCAAAATGGATTTGGGAAGCCCACTGGGGAATACTTGTCAAATCCTTCACAGGGAGAACAGAAGGATGTGGCGCCCTGATTGTGGCTCTGTCTTCCCTAGGTGCTGTGCTGCTGTCTTGCCATGAGACAAGCTATGTTTGAAGTTCTGCTGAGCAGTCTACATAGCATGACTTAAAAGTGCAAGTTCAACAGCATTCAGCTTCCAAGAATACAAATGCTCTGAGCACCAAAAGAGACAAAGAAAAACCAGCCCATGACATTTCGCTTTACGTTCTGGAGAATGCTAGTAGTCTTCAGAAATAAAAGTATCTTGGGATAAATGGATTAGAGGCTTCTGGATGTTGATATTAGCTCTTTTATTTTCTGTTTTGCTCAGAAGCACTCAAAATTTCAGTCATTGCATCTTGTGATTCCTCAGAAGCATTGAAAGTGGCAGGGAAAATGGAAAGTTGGCCTTGCAGGGTCCTAGGCAGGTGGAGGTAGAGTTAGGATCAGCTGAGCTTGGGGCATAACCAAGACAGAGGGATAAAAGTGAGAGCCATCATGAAGAGCTTCATAGCAAGCCTTCAAGAACTTCTGTTGAGGAGTTACTGGACAGTTACAGATTTTTCTTGATGTCACTTTGTTTTCTCCACTCCCCACTCCCCCTATATCACATCAGAAGTCCCTAGTATCATCAGTTTTGTTATAGGAGCTTCTCAGTCTTCATTTGCATTTGGGATAGATGACATCATTAGTCCATTGTTTGTCATTCCCTCCATCCACACTCCCTGCTACATGACTCTGCAGCACTCTCCCACTGGTTGGCCTCTAAACTTTGGACTGAGATACATGATTTTTTTTGATCAATAGAAATTTTAGGATATGTGATATGAGAAATGATCAAAATGGATTTGCCTCAACTTGGAGATTAGTGCTCCTGCCATGAAAAGAATGAAACACATGGCAATGGCAAGATGCACAGTCAAGTTAACCATGGAATAGAGCCCCCTACAGAGCCACACACATGTGAATAAGCTCTACTGCTGCAAGCAAAACCACCAGGCCCAGCCCACTTCCATATGGCTGAGTCTTTCTGATAAGAGATGAGCAAATGTTTATTGTTGGGTGCCCCTCGTTGTATGGTTGTCTGTTACGCAGCAAAACCTATCTGATAAAGTGCCTTTGATCCATGTTTCTTATATTTGCCAGAGTGATATTCCTAAAATGCAACTGAAATTATGCTAAATCATTCTGCCCAAAGTTGTTTAATAATGTCCTGTTGGGGATGAATTGGGTTACCCCAAAATTTGTATGTTAAATACCCAATCCTCAGTATCTCAGAATATGACTTTATTGGGAACTAAGTACATTGAAAATATAATTAGTTCAGATAAACTTATACTGTAATAGGCTATGCCCTTAACCAAATATGACAGCTGTCTGACAGGAAGAGGGATCTTTTGGTGGGAGGTAAGACAATCTTGTTATATGGTTCAGGCTCAACTTGAACTCACTGGGTTGCCCAGGCTTGCCTCAAATTCACTGAGATCCACTTGTCTCAACCTCCCAAGTGCTGAGATTACAGGCACACACCACTATGTCAGATAAAAAGGGGAAATTTAGAATTAGGAACACAGGGGAATGCCTTGAGAACATGAAGCAAAGATTAAGGTAATGTGTCTACAAGCCAGATTTCCAGAAAACCATCAGAATTTGAGAGGAAGACATGGGTACAGATTTTTCTTCGCAAATTTTAGAAGGAACTAACACTAACAACACGTTCATTTCAGTCTTCTGGTCTCCAAAACTGTGAAACAATACATTGCTATTATTTAAGACACTCTTCTTTACCTTTAGGATAAAGTCTAAATTCCTTTACAAAGTGTGTAAGTTCTTTCATGAAAGTGGTTGTATCTGTGGTTTCATTTTCTTCAGCCTTATCTCATTTACCAGCTACACAGAGCTACTTACAGTTGCTTCTATTTGTATTTTGTGGCAGAGATTTGGCATCATCTCTGGAATTTTTTCCTTACTTCCTTAATCCTAACCATGAGAGGATGCTCTGCAAACCATTTCCCAGGTACTCTCTATGGATACTTCTGTGACAGTGCTTATCACACTATTTACAGACGGTGAATTCCTGTTCATGGCACATCTTTGTCCTCATCAATGGACTTGATAATGATCCTCTCAAAGAGGAAGTCTTATTTTAGTTTTGTATTCCTAGTACCTAGCACAGTGTTTGGCATAGACAGGCTGTATAGCAAATATTGATGAAGGAGTCTGTGTATGTTCATGTGCAAATATCTAAACAGATGTGTTTTCAGAATAAGGCAGACATATTCCGCTGGTATGACAACTAGAACGCAGCTGAATTTGCTTGGAAGCACAAAGCACTCAAAGACCAAACATGACTTCCATATTTTTCTTCATTCCCTTCTTTATCTATAATTACCCAATCTCACATGTTTTATAATGCTTTTAGATGTAAGTGACTGTGAATTATTAGCGAGTATAACCTTTCATCTTCAAGACTGACAGTGTCTGTCTTTCACATCTCTCTGGAGGAAGAAACTATTATAAACATGTTTTTGCTTACCAAGAGAATTGTTAATGGTTATCCTGGAGGGGAAAAAATCTATAAATATCCAACCCATAATGAAGCCTTAAACTTACTTTCTCCCTTTACTGATGAAACCCTTTTGTAGTGCACTGGCAGAATTGCTACACAACCATTAGAGTTGAGAAAAGGCAAACTTTGTAGTGAGTTTTTGTTTTACCTGTTTTGTTCTTATTTTGGAATCTGACGACAGATTGTTGTAGGTATAATGTGCCTGCGTAACTCCACAGAAGAGAACAGCTACTATCCCTGAAATTGAAAAACAGACAAGTCAAAACCAATTTTCATTTTCATCAAAGAGCAGCACTATCCCAGCTGGGAAATGAACTTGGGTGTCAGTTGAGTTAAAACTCTTAATAATTACTCTTAATAATCTCATGATATGAGACTTGGTAAATATTGCTACTCATTTTGAACACAGGTCTTGAACCCTTAAACTTAAAGAAAAGCACTAGTAAGTTGATTAATAAAAACGAGAAGACTTCCTGGTGGTAAATGATTCCTTGGTCATGAGTTAGAAAATTATACTTGCAAACATATGAACAAGATTTTATAATCAACTCTGACTTCTCATAGCTAGTGCCCATTACTTTGCTGCATTTTATAGTAAATACTGGTGTATGTTCTCAGATATTTGCTTTCTACTGTTTGCCTTGGAAAGCCTGAAAACGCTCCTGTCACATTATAATTTAGTATTAAAAGCCATGAGTCACAAACCTAAGACTTCGACAAGAGTTTTGTTGCTCCTGCCAATGTTCCTATTTGCCAAGCAGGAAAGGGGAGTCCTTAATTGCTCCTTTGCATCTTTGGCAAAGTTAATACTCTGTCTTTCTACAGCTGAGTGACCTAATGAACACACCTATTCAGGGTAGTGAACACACACACTCCTTAAAGGTAAAGTGGTCTGTTTTTGTGAGCTTCACAGCAATGGGCTGTTAGCTGCTCCTTGCTGCAGCAGAGTTCATTTCTTAAGCCACAGTATGCTCAGATTTAAATGCTATTTGAAGGTGCACACACATTAGATGGGACAGAATAGCAAGGATGGGACCATGAGCTGTGTTATTGTCTATCCTATTGCCCCGGGCTGGAGTGGGGAAGTGGTGGGAGGTGCACTCTACTTGGATTGAAGATTAGATTAATTATGGGAAACTGAGCATTGAGAAGGGCTTTGGAAAAAAACACACAATGTAAGTATTCTACAATTCAGACTAAGGGGATTGAAATGAATTTTAAGTAGTAGAATCTTTCCATCTAAAAACACTCATAAATTAAATGCTGATGATTTAAGAGCATAGAGATATGTGAACTGAATACTGACATTTCAAATGAATCTGCAATAAAGAATTTTGAAGAACTGAACTGCATGCATCTATTTACATGTTGGTTATTTTTCAGGTTAGCAATGGATAAAATGTTGCTAAGATATACATTTATATATTTCCTTTTAATATTATGCTTCAAAATTTTACACAAAAGAATAAAATCAAGTAGGAATTTTTGCCAAGAGATACATATTCAATAGGTGTTTCTAGAGAATTTTGGTAATTTTTCAATTTCTTAGCTTCTCTTCAGAAATTTTAAGAAAAAAATTCTTATAAAATATTGCATTTCACTCTTCACAGAATTTCTATTTAAAAACAGGGAAAATTTTAGGGAGTACTTTAAGTGCTTCGAAGTGCTAGGTTAGGAGGATTGGCATGTGTGTTGTTTTAATATTAAACGTTTCTCTCTTTTTATTTTAAAATGCAATTTATCTATCACCATCGAGTGTTTGGGGTGTTTCTATGGATAGTGTTGGCTGAGCCTCTCACTGCAGGGGAACTGTTCTGACTGCATATTGATCTGGGAAGAGGACAGGTGGGTGGGGTGAGTTGACTCACTCAGAGCATGACGATGGGTAAAGGGTGTGAGGAAGGGTCAGAAGGATCTCAGAATGATGGCCTCTGACGGGGGCCAACCTGGTGCTGATTTCCTCTTCACCTCAATTATTGGGCAGCTTTGGGTTATCGTGATTAATCAGCCCTCTCACTGCTTTCTTAGAATAGTATTGCTCTTCCGGCTATTCAAGCCAAAGTTCTGGGATCATGCTTTCCCTTTACTCCTCACTGCGTATCCGAAATTTCATTGGCTTGTGTTTTGAAACTTATTCTAAACCCTTCCACTTTTCAACACCTCTGCCCTCACCCCTTTCCCTAAGCCATCATTATGTTTGGCCTGGATTGCAGTAATATCTTCCTAACTGATTCCCCATTGTCTAGTCTTCATCAAGAAATAGTGACTCTTGAAAAATAGTTCAGATTATATCAACCCTCTGGTCAAAACTTGTAATGTGTTCCCAGTATGTAGTCCCGCTTCTGGCTCCCCTTTCACAGCTCCCCGACCTCCTCTCTCATCAAGCTCCTTCTGTCTCATGCTGTCCTCACGAAGCCCCTCCCACCACAGGTTCTTGCACTTCCATGACCTACAGTTTGGAAAGCTTCTCCAGGTATCACTATGTCCTCTCCTTGCTTCAGATGTTTGTTGACATGCTATATTTATCAGATAAGATGTCTCTGTCCACTCTATAAAAATTATTCCCCATCATTCTCCACACTCCTATTCTGCTTTTGTTGCTTATTCTTTACTGCCACCTAATATTTCCTGTATTTATGTGTTTATCTTTTGTCTTCTTCTACTGAAATGTAGAATTCCTTAAGGACAGAGAGATTCACTGGTCCCTACTTCTCATAGCAATGCTGAGTACGTGGTAGGCACTCCACAAACAGTTGTTAAATGAGTAAGTGAACATTTTTATCCTCATTGAACAAGACACTAAAGTAATTTACTCAAGGTCACCTTGAGAATGGAAGAGCTGAGGTTCAATATTCCACAGACTGTGTTTTTCTGCCTTCATTAAAGCATCTGTGAGTGTTTTGAGGTGACTCTGAGACAACTAAAAATATCATTTCTGCTATCCCAGGGAAATAGATCAGTGATGAAAGTTACATCTGAGATCACTGGACTTGTCATTTGAAGACGTTTTCCCTACGTCCATTGGCTTTCATTTCTTGCCTCCAGTAGAACGCTTGATCTGAAATGTTCCTGCTGTAGTCTTGAAGCCTCACCTATGGACACTTGAGACGAACAACAAGCCATGAAGATAGCGCACATGTGGCCATGGGCTTGGTATTGTACTTAGAACAACAAGGTTGATCTGACGCTTAGTTTTAGCATACAAAAATCATAATAATCATAATTTTATAGCTTGGCAACTAATTAAGTCACACAAATTACTGTAATTAGTATGACTATTAAAAAACAAAACAGACCTTCAAAATGTCTCATCTAAATATATGTACTATAGGAGTGCCTCCTAATCCACTGGTTCATCTTCCATGGTTTCACATATCCACAATCAACTGTAGTCTGGAGATACTAGAAGGAAAGTTCTAGAAATAATCGTATGTTTTAAATAACCCTATTACAATGTGTTGATTGTTCTATTTGTTATTTACTATTATTAATTACTTACTGTGTTTAATTTATAAATTAAATGGTTTCATCAGTAAGTACAGGAAAAAAGGTAGTATATAGAGAATTCAGCACTATTTATGGTTTCAGGCTTAGACTCGGGTCTTAGAATATAAGTATTTCACATTGCAAGGAGGATGGGGAGCTATTTTCTCTATAAAATTCTTTACCAAAGAAATAGATTCAAAGTTGACAGTTTTCTGACTTTTGGAAGGAAATCTTAATTGACATTAAGTTTTTACACACCCATCTGCTAGTAGTAGTTGTGCTGTGGTTATGAGAGGCCCTTTACAAATCTCTTAAATGCTCTAAATTTCAATCATGCGTATGCAAGAAGAGGAGGATGACCAAATGCTTTGATTCTGGTGGTGAAACTAGTATCTCAGCTCCAGACTCGCCCTTCTTTCCTGGCTCTAGGATCCCAGCACTGGGGCTCTACGATTTCCTTAGTCAGTTTTGTGGAGATCGCCAAGTCTACTGTCCCAGATGGAAATCTGAATACAGGCAATAGGACTGGCTTCTTCCTATTTGCCTGCTTTCTCCCTGTCAGCTTCATCTCAGCAACTGCTCTGCAACAGAGCTCTGACAGTCAGATCTAGCCTCTTTGCATGCTTTTTCCTCATCCCCATCAGACCAGCCACATGACACACATCTGAGAAAGCAACAGCAGGTGGGCAGGGCCCTCCGCAGTCTGGATCATAGCTCAGCAGTTCCCTTTTTGGAGCTCCTGGATTTGCCCACTTAGATCTCACATTCATTTAATTTGTGTAATGACTAGCCCTCTTTTTATATTGGTAACCCTCTCACTCTTTCAGTTTTCCATTCCTTTTTTACTTGTATTAAACTCTGTATTAGGCAGATAGCTTCCCTTGTGAGTGCTTCCTGATTGGGAGTCTTGGGGGACTTTTCTCATGCTAAACTTTGATGGTCCTGTGAAACATATACCATTTGGAAATCTGTATTTTTCCAAAGTGATGAGAGATACTGGTGGTGCTGAGATATTATCCAAATGTCAGAGTACCCTTTCCAATGTGCCTATGGTTGAAGTTGGTGGTTTTAAAAGTGTAGCAAGTTTCATTGAAATGGGGGACTTAAGGCTATGAATAAGAACTAAGAGAGAGAGGCATAGCTTAGACTTAGGCATGTGTCTTCTGATTATTAGTATTATAATAATTCCAAAATATAATGAAGTGGCTACCTGAAGTATGAAAAGTTCCCTATCATTTGAAATGTTTGGGCTGAAGGATCATCTGCCATTGTAGAAAAAGAATTCTTTTCATCAAGTCAAAGCTTGGATTTCTTCCAATTCTGTGGGTCTTTCATATTTGTATACATTATTTTTCATTAATCTACTAGAATTAACATCTCAACTTAGTCTTTTTTTCAAGTTCAGAACAAAGACATAATTATGTTGCCAAATGAAACTTTTAGATATTTTGAATACAGGCAGCTATATTTTCTCAGTAAGTACAGATGAGGTAAACACATAGATTTTTAAAAGTCTTTCAATTTTATACAGATAAACCCTTGTAAAGTAAAATTTAAAAACATATTTTTACCACATGTTCTACTCATTTTTTTTTCAAATGAGAGACAAGGTTTAAATGTCTTCTTTCTAGAATTGAATGTTTCTGAATTGCCAAACCACAAACATTTGGTCAAAGATAAGCTGTCTGTGCTGGACTGACAGAGGCCGCTCACGCTCTGGAACCCACTTCCTCTTTGCTTCTCTCTTACTT